AGTATGTAAAAAATGATTTTTTTTCACGGCACACCTGACAGCCTCTCGCGGCACACACGCTGGTTGAAAAACACTGTGCTAGCCTGCTAGTCTGCTAGCTGGCTGCAAACTGTGGAATGGATTCCTGAACGGAGGCGCGGCTCAATGAGACACAGTTATGAGACACGCTCAGGAAATCCATTCCACAGTTTGCAGCCCGCTAGCAGACTAGCAGGCGGGAATCACTTTTGGAGTCATTTCAGCAGACGACGTTTAAGCGCAGACATGGCTCATTGATATCGGAAATCTCCAAAGGTTGTATCGGAAAATCCGATACCCGAATTCCTCTGATATCGGGTCCCGATATCGATACTGGATCGGATCGGCCCCATCCCTACCTGTAATGTATAAAATATTTAACTAATATACTGAATTGTATGAAAGATGCCCACATAGTGATGATGCATGTTCGATACCTTTTTTTTTTTGCATTGAATCCCACTGGGACAAAAATTCCACCAGTCCTATAAAACGTGGAGATACCTATTAAAGTAGATTTGTGCCTTTATTATGCAAACAGACAACTGTTTTGAGAGCAAATTTCTTTCATTGCAGACAAAAATCAAGATCGTAAGTAAAAATATATAAACTGAAAAATTAATAATGTATTTTTTCTTATGAAACTAGAATTTTTGGCTGCAAAACAAAAACTTTAGCTCTCAAAAAATAAAGTAGTCTTTTATTAAGGAACGATATTGACTGCTGTGTTGACGTGAAGCCCCGCTTTCTACGTGCATGTGGGCTGATGTTGCAAACTGTAATGTTCAAGTGTCTCCAATTACTAACAAAGATATGTTAGCTTAGTTAGTGGTATTATGTAGGTGAGGCGAAAGCTATTAATCATTTCTTGTTCTTTTTTTAATTAATTGATTACACTCAAACATTACATTGATTCTGTCACCTACACTATGTCAGGTAATGGCTTAATTGCTTTCAAAACAGCCTGTGCAGTACACTGTAACGTCCCTTTACCATATCCATACATTTAAAATCCCTTTCCAGTATGATGCACGTGAAGCCACGGAGGCTGCATGACATCTCCTGTCCCTGATTTCAAGGGCCACACCTGAAGAACCTCAGGGACAGAATCAGGTGATTGAGAGATCCTCAGTGCAAGCTGAAACGGCAGGCATGTACTCATGTCAATGAGCCAGTTAAATGTGTCATTAGTCTGGTTTCTACCTTGATGGCAGCAGTGCAATTACATAACTGTCATGTAATTACACTGTCTACTGTCACGCACCAACCGCCAAGACAAATTCCTTGTATGTTTGACATATTTTGGCAATAAATGTTTCCTGATTCCTGATCCTGATAATTGAGCACTTGTAATTTAGAACTTGTAGGTATGTCCAACCATTTATTTAAATAGTTTGGGATGGAAAGTTTAGATTTCCACAGTAATTCTATAGCATACAACTGTCGTAATGAGCATTATATTTAACTGTGGATATAAAATGACTGGAGAGATTTATTTTGGTCTACACTTTGTATTTCTCTTCAAGATCCACAACCTGATGGGGACAATGCAGAAGAGGCTTTGACTGTAGCCTCATTAATCCAGTGGATGACTGGTCAAGCATAAAAACTCACTGTAAAAAGGTATCATTGGTGTCTGAACATCATGCCAAACCACAGTGTATGTTACCCATGTGTCAGTGTTTGCACAGACACCATCACATTCGAAGTAGCCCACATTAAATATTATGAATATTTTAAACAATCCTGCAAACTGCCATTAAGTCTGGTGCAGGATTTGATAAATGTGTTAAATAGTTGTTGGCAAGAGCATAGTTCTGTGTTTAACGTGCTTATTCAATGTTTTTCTATTCTTTAGAAAAACAATGTTCCAGAATAATTTTATACTATAGCTTTTTATGCCACCTTGTTATAACGTGAGTAAGCAAAATAAACACAACTATTTATTGTGTATCATGTTCTGCTTGCAGGATCTGAGATGGACCAAACCCATTAATTATGATTATAGCAATTGCCTCGTTTCTTCATAGTATAGAGACTAAACATTACATTTCATTTCTTTGTTATTGTGCTACATGTAAGGTACACACAGTACCTCCTGCAGATCTGATTCTGGCACAGGTAAGTTACCTGTAGCATCCCACTCCTCCAAAGCTGACTAGTGTAGGGTCAGCGAGAACCAATTTAAATTGTGTAATTGATGCGTAGGTAACATGGACACGTCCAGGTGCGTGTACCCACTGTTAGCACACGTTAGCCCGCAGTGGGCTAGTAGAAAGTGGGGCTTCATGTCATTCTTTAATAAAAGACTCTACGACACTAACAACATGAAACATCTCAAAACATGTTTTGGGTTTGTATAATAAAGACACAAATCTTCATACCTGCTGTGCTCATGTTCTTGGAGACTCCACAGTCCCAGAAGGGACTGGTTTCCCTCCTTGCTCAGTGGGGCTGGTTTCCCTCGCAGGTCCAGCCATCCTGGATAACCTGAAGGTGTTTCTGTACGTGGAGAACAAAGCACCAATGCAGAGCATAGAGATGAATTTTGTTTTCAGGATTGAGAAGGTCTTCTCCCTCAAGGTTGGTAAAGGTGTAGAAGAGATCAAGTACCCTGTTATAAACGTCTCTCCAGAGCCTTTCCATCCTGATGGGGAAATAAATCATTTAGTCTGCTGACAATGACAGTTTGTTACAAATATCTGTGTTAATCTCCTGAAAAGGATAAGATGACTGCCCACCACTCAGTCTACTTTAGCAAAGCTCTTCTTCAGACCCCATAATAGAAATGGGTTAGTCTAGGGTTAGCACTGTTGGAATCTCAGATGATCAGTTTAAAACTGTGCACAAGTAAATAATCGAACAAATAATGACAGCTGTCACTTAACTTGCACCTTGCGTTGTGCATTCAAATGTCCAACCATCATTTGGTATCCAGTGTTGGGATGTTGCTGTAGAATTTGAGTTTCATCCAAATCGTGGTCCTCTAATGGAGTTTATAGGGTCATGGAGTCAGAAGAGACAACAAAAAAATGTGACCTGACTCACAGTACAAACAGCCCACGTTGATCACAAGTCAACGTCGATCTGTTGTAAACTGCAGTTTAAAATTGAGATTAAGATTGAGACTGTGTTCCTGGGTTTGACAGGGATGGGGTTGGAAGGCAGGACTCAAATGCAGACTTCTCCAAACAAAACACTTTAATAATCAAAAGGTCCAAAATCCAAAAGGCCAAGGGGCAAAAACACACAAGCATGAACCTACGGGGGCGAAAGACAAGAACAGGACATGCGTGGCAAAAGACAATGACGCGACCAGTGACACAGGAGACACACGGCTTAAATACACAAGGGAGGTGCAGGTGATTGGACACAGGTGGAAACTATTAGACAATCACAGGGGACAACGGGACAAGGCAGGAAGTGAAGTTACCCGGGGACACAAGTGGCAGAAAACTACAAAATATAACATGAAGTGAACCACACCGTGACAGGGTTAATCTGAACCCAGCTATGTGCTGTAGAAATAAATGAAATGTAACCAGAGCTTCAACTTGAACCTGCTGCCTAAAGACATGTCATATAGCTTTTACATGTTTATATTTTAAGTTTAAAATATTTCACTTGTTGAGTTTATGAATGCAGCACTATCATAAGGGTCAAACTGATGCAAATGTGCATAATTAAAAATCTGTCAAATCGGACCCCATTCAACTTCATTTGCTCAAGTAATAGGGTTATAAATTATATATTGAAGAGTTTATTCCATGGCAACCATGTAAAACGTTCATCAAAGTTACAGTAAATATTAATACATTTGCAAAACGATATACAGCCACTTTTAAAAGATAATAAATTAAACCAGAAAAACACACTTGACATTATTACCTTATTCCGTACTGCACCATCCTCCAAAGGAGAATAAAATATACGAGGAACATCGATGGGTCGCTCCGGTGGTTCCAGGAGGATCGAACACTATCGGCATTGAGCTGATCCAAGTCCTCCGTCACTTTATCCAGCCAACACTGAAGAGTGTCTTTCTTAACGTGCTTCTCTAAATCGTTCGCTAATGATCGCAATTGATTTGAAATGGTTTGTAAAAACAAAACCATGTAGCCAAATGCTAACAACAACTTCTGCTAAGGAGCTAACTTCAAGACATAAGTAGTAGACCAGGAGCGATCACACTCCTCTGACCAATCTTGCTTGAGACCGAGTTTAGAACCGCCCACTTCATTACCATACAGACACACATAAATAAAAGTAGGTTAACAGAAATAAAAATATGATACAGAAACATAAATAAATAAATGAAGAAATGTAGGCAAACAGAAATTTAGAAATATATGTATCTATGACCTGTTTGATTATCAACTTTTATTTATTTATGGATACGTTCATTTACTTATTTCCATATTTATTTCAGCATTTATTTCTTTATTCATCTATAAAGTTGTTTATTTATTTACACATTTATTTATTCCTGTATTTATTCATACATTTATTCAGTCAAATATGAGATGTGCACTTATAGCAGGCAGCATGTACATCAAACTGTTTTTTTTTTTTTGCACAGTCATTGTGAAAAGCAAAAAACAGTCCAAAGATCAGAATGTGTGGAATCTTTACAGGGCTGTAATCTCTGGGTGCGGCTGAGCTGAAACTTCCTTTTAGGTGTTAGTCATTGCCCAAGACAGCCTCAGATATACTATAAAACGGTACTCACACATTTTAACCACTTTAAAGTAAATATTTGAACATAATTATTTTGTTTGCTGGTTACATTTAAAGTCACATCAATGTCTTAAAATCCCATAGAAGGGCTGTTGTGTTTTAAATATTTGGTCGATTTTACTTTAACATTTTCTTCATATGAATTACCTTCTTCCCACTGCCAGATTAAATCTCTTGCAAAGAATTTCATAGTTGCATTTGAGTTTTACCACCTGTGCCACCACCTTAAAAAATCTGAGACGAAGATAATGTCAAAGTTTATTCACAATCATTTGAGAGAATGCATTTATGAACTGCAAATGATGTTTCATGATCAAGCTCATAGATGGCTGTAGCCAGTGTTAGCTGAGAAACCAGGCGTCATGTAGGAATTTGAGCTTGTGCAGAAACCTCTGGGACAGTATTGCCTCTAAAGGACGAAAACTTTGCTGAGCACCCTGTAAGCCATGGAGAAGGTGACCAGCATTCCCACTACCCAGGACAGTCCTCTGCTGGGTTGAGGCAGAACGGTGATGTAGGCGATGGTGTGGAAGATCCGACACCCGGCGAAAACGCGGAAGTGAAGCAGAGCGGTTGAGAGCTCAGGTCCAGTGAGAGCGTAAAGCAGGCCGATCAATACAAAAGGAACAATGTTCTCAATGTCGTTCTGATGACATCTGGAGAACGGAAACAGGGATTATTTAAACCCTGCTTCCTGCATAATAACATTACCACAAAACTGCATTCTTAATCATGTCTCAGAAACATATTGTATTTTGAAACACGTGGCTAACGTTGTCAATTTAAACAAAAACTTGGGCAAAAGCATTTTTTGTTTTGAAAACATCTTATTTGACTGCACAGTCTGGCAGTTTGTTTCCTGGTGACTGTGTTGGTTCACGTCGAGGCAAAGCTCTACTCCGTGCTAATTGGAGGCGGTAAGTATGAAAGCTGTGGCGGGGTCGTAGCTGCTAGAGGTTGATCGGACCAAATGATAGGATTTATCAATACTGATTAGTAAATAGCAAGTAGTCTCGCCAATGGGTCTTGTTTGCTTATGTAGATCATATATAGTATATAGTATATGAAAATGACGTTGAGACTCATAAAGAGTTACATTATTTTAGAATTTTTTTAAGTCCTTATTGACTCCTTGATTCCCAAGGGACACAAACAGCAGTCTCCTTGGTGAAAGTTGTGTGTTTGTTTCTCCTCCCTACATAGACCTCCACACAATATGATTAGAAATGTGTTTCTGATACGTCAAAAATAAAACCGGTGCAAAATGTGTTTCCCTCGAAGCTAGTTGGCAACCCATTTTTGTGGAATGTACACATTCCAATATCTGTGTCTATTACAACTTGTAGCCTTAACATTGGATAGTTTACAGCATGCAGTATTGTGCATGGAATTATTTAGTCTCAAAATGTATATGTTTTATACATATCTAATTATCTATTACAGTGATCTTCCATTTAGATATTACCCCTCCAAAAAGCACAAGTATCATTCATATGTAGACAAAAACAGCACTGTGTCTTGTCTTTCATTATATGATGAATCTATTTAGCTTCCAATAAGAAACTACACCAGGATTTCTCACCCTCTTCTGGAATTGAAACCTGTTTTAAGAGCTTGTAACTGTCCAGACAGTCAGATTTGAGTTTGAGAATTGGATAAATATGTATTTCTCCAATTATCTGTTTTGTATCTTAATAAAATACCAGTGTATCCATCATTGACTTTAAGTGTAAAGGATCGATTATCTCACCTTCGAACTCGCTCTACATCGGTGTGAGTTCTCAGCAGCTTCTTCCTCTCCTCTACAGGCTTTAGGGCCACGTCTTCCTCATTTGCAAAAGCCTGAATGAAAGAAAGCCTAACTTATCATTACATATTTTTGACAAGCATGCAGCTATTATTTTGTGTAGTGGTGGTTTTTGGAGGCGGATAGGCATTGAGGTTCTTCACTTCTTGCACGTAAATGAAACCACAAAACAGGTCTTACAGGCTGGAACTAAGGTACCCATTGCCTATCATGAAAACAAAATGTAAAACCGACTACCTACCCCCCTGGTCAAACGGAAGAATGCCGTCATGGGGGACATCAGCATCATCTTCAGAATGACAATTGCTGAGTAGGTGGCAAAAGCCATAAATACCTCATCTTCTATCAGCTTTGCCATCTCTGCTGGTTTAAAACTGAATTACAATGAAAAAGAGACAAGATTCAGCAACGATTTGACAAACAAAATAACATGGAAAAGAGTTATACCAAAGTGCATTACTAATATTATGCTAGGAATGTGAGGCAGTGTAGTCAGTTTAGTTTTGCCTCACACCTCCATAGCTTAGGATATATACTCTAGAATACTGTTTACAGATCAAGTGACAAAACTGACACATACTGAAGAAGACAAAAATATACAAGTCATTACATACAGTTTTATTTGCAGTTTAACTATTCTACTTACGAGCTTTGGTGACTCTGCAGGAAAGGATCAAGTCTGTGCCCGTTCCACGAAAAACAAACACCCAGAAACTCAGGGGGCGGGACGTTAGCCACTGCAGAACAAAACACAACTTCCTGTTTGTGGGAGTGTAATGGTTTTTCTATACTTATGAGGACAGCATGAATTCCTACCCAAAAAACACTATCCCCAACACATTTTTCTGGGACAATAACTTACAAAGTATAACAGTTTTTTTCAATTCTAACAACATTGATGAAGTCACTACTGTCTAAAATTAACAAATATTATATATGATAACAAAGCTAGTGTAAGGAATTGATGTCCGGTCTGGACAAGTCGGGAGACAAGCCCCTCTTCGGAGGTCCGATGTCAAAATAAATCTGAAAAGCTGGTTCAATTAAAATCAACTCAATGTTTATCCTATAACTTTAATCTAAAACAAACCCCAGTGCAGTCACAGTGTGAATCACAAACAACAATATTCAACTGAATAGAGCCTCAACGTGATTGAAACCAACAGGATAGCATTATCCAGTCTAGCTGCCTGACCTAATCCTAGAGAGACTCACAATATTTTCCCAATATAAGTCGAGTATTTATATTTCAGAGTAATCCCACCATTTTATCCATACATCCATAAACCACACCCCCTACGGGATTAACTGTTTCCTGCCCGTCTCTACTTCTTGCACTATTGCACAACACATGTAATGCCTGTAGAGAAAACCAGCTTAGTTACTTGGAATGCTTTTGCAATTCCATTTCTCCACACTAGTACATAAAACCACAGGCAATCAATCAAGTGCAGAGAGAGAGAGAAAGAGAGAGAGAGTGTCTGTGTGAGAAAGAGAGAGTGTGCAAGGGGGGGAGCTGGAAAAACTAGAAAAATGGCAGATGCAGTGGCGATGAGGGACAAGAAAATGGTGGCGAGGTTGCCATCTTCACACCATGTGTTTCCGAGAACAGGATTCGGATCAATACCTATGTGTCGGCTCCCGTTCGCATAATAAAACCTATATGTCTGGATTAGCAAAACAATAAAGGAAATCGGAATAATCAAAGCAGATCTTCACCAGTAAGATGCGTCTTGTTCATTGGACTTGGATCTAACTTTGGTCCTCCTTATCTTGATTTGGTCACAGACATGGTTTGTCTGGACTTGGGATCTCACTTTGAGCCGGTTATCTGGACCTGGTACCTGACTCCTGAGATGGGTCTTGTTTGACTGGACGTAGGATGTGACTTTGGTTTTATATGTCTTTATTGGGGATTTTTTATTTTACCTCTGGATCAAGTACACTACATTTTTTTTTTAAATAAAAGAGTAGGTAATATGAAAAATAGCATCACTATGCTTAAGTCTAATCTTTGCTAAATCATTCTTGGACATGGTCATATTTTGTTGCCCCACATATTATTTTATTGAGATAATGGACATTTTGGGCCAAAAAGTTTGAACCAGGAAATTAATGTATTCTTATGAACCATTAGTTGACACTTGTTTTTGTCAATGCAGCTAGCCTCTCTGCTCTCTGTCCTTCCCCCTCCAATCAAAGCTGAGCTTCTGCCTCCTGTCTGCGTCTCCAGTCGGTGACTAGAATTCATCTGCGTCCAGTCAAGATCACTTTTTCCACTGCTGTCATTTCTATTTAATCAAACTGACGTCACATTGGTGAGATACTTGAAAGACTCAGCCTTAACAGAGAGCCATGTTTTACCAATATGAGGTGCTTTTGATAAAGGAATCAAAAACACCTGATTTCACATGTGACTTCACTTGTCACTTTCTGTTCGCTGGTGCACTTTATTTTTAATTTCTAAATATTTTGTACTTTAACTTTTTATTCCTTTATTTTTAAACTAACCCATAGCCTTATACTACTAACACATAGCATTATGTTTTATTTTATTCCTCGTGCACTGACATATTATGGCAATAAATGTTTCGTGATTCCTGATAGAGGTACCAAGATTGTTTTCTTTTTGACTAGTCTCTCTTGCTGTCACCTCCTCAGTCCCATTGCTAGGTGGGTACATATCTGTTTGGGAGGGCCTTTAATGTATGTTCTGTAGAATTGTAAATGAACGGGGTCTGCCTAAGACAAACCGAACGTTCATACTGTGTCTGTTTGACAGAAGTCAAAGTCAAAGTGTTTTCCATGATTTCGCATACTGATACATGTGAAGGCGTGATACAAATGACAGGTGACATGCTCACAGATGATGTCAGCCTTCTCACTTTCTCTCACTCCTCGTCCGCGGTGTGCTGCAAAGGCCTGTCTTTGCAGCAGTTGTCTGACAGAACAGATTCTGTTTTATTTATTATATTGTCCACAGCAGTCTATGTTTTTCTCATTCTAGACACATGTGTAAGCCAAAGCAGATTTTTCAATTGTGTTTCTTTTGTGTGTTGTCAGTTTATGGTTGTCAAAGTGCAGGGGTCAGTTTCAAGAAGCGGGTTTAGTGGAAAGTCAGAGTTGGTTAACCCTGAGATGAGGGGAACTCTGGCTTGTCTGTTTCACAAAGGGAGGTAACTAAAGCTCAGGGTCAGTCCCCATGGTAACTGAGCCTGTGAACATAACCTGGTCGGGAGCAGGTTTTCTTCAATAAACCTAGAGTTTCTTTCACAGTCTCCTCCCTCTGACAGCAGCCCAGCCAATCACACAGCGCACTTTCATTTCCTCATTCATTCAAGTACTCTGTATCAGGCGTATTTTAGCGCAGTTTCCACATATGCACAAATATGATCTGTGTTACGTTGAAGACTAAAGTGTTTTCTGGAACATTGCACATCCTTTTCTGTACAATCCAGTTGATGAAGCGGTTTTACTTCGCAGGGTGTTAAACACGTCGGGAGAATATTGAGGCCCCAATTAGATACATTGTCATGTCCAGATGACTACTTGTTTAAACGGTATCGTTTTTCTTCACAGTGCATCAAATATGTACATAACCTCACCCGTCCTCATATAACTAACGTCCCCCATCGTGGACATACTCTCACATACAAGCACATCCTTTGTGTATTATTACGTTTTTCTGCAAACGGCAGATGGCTTTACAACATTAGAAAATTAGTAAAGCTGGTGTATGCAGAGCCATGAGAAACATGTGCGTCGCTCTGAAACGTCTTTTTAAACCTTTTTGGTCCCTGGACACAAACCAGTGAGAGCCATTAAAGAGAAGTTCCACAGGATGCACCTGAATAAAATATATTATAGGTCCAATACCATTGTACCAGTTTTACCAGCAATATTATTCTTGTGATTAAATATGAACTTGGGTGTGTATTTCAAGCCAGTGTGTAGTGCATTCTAACAAACAGTGTAAAAAATTAAATTTTCCCACTGGGAATTAGTAAAACGTATGGATTATGATTAGTGTGTACATTAAATATTAACTAACAACACTATATTGGAACTCACGCCGTTTCTCTCTTTTGCTGCATTAGCGGTGTTGATTTTTCTTTCTATCTATCTCCATTTAACCAACCTAAACAGCTGTTCTGAAACCCAAAACTCAGTTTCCCATCTCCGGGTAAATCAACTCAGAGTTTAGTGTTTGACTGAGAGTTTGTTAAACCTCCTACTTGAAACGGACCCCTGAGTGACCAAAACTCAATGTTGTGTCTGAATGCATCCTGTGTTGACAAAGGACTGAACTTTCACTGCACAACTAAACCAGTGCCAAGCAAAGAAAAGAGACAAAAAAACTAAAACTAGTGATAGATTAAAAACATTATGTTAAAGAAGCTTCACTTGTTCATCTACAGATCTTGAATTGTTACAGAACATTTGGCGATATATCATGAAAATATTAGTAATAATATTAATAATAATAGTTGCTTTTTTTATTATGTTGTTATTATTATTGCCAAATACGGTTCAAGGGAATGTTGGTTTGAATCAGCGTAGGGAGGAGGTCAGGGTTTTGTACTTATTTTAACCCAACTTGATATCGACATGATCACTTACTAAACGCAACATGTGCTTTTTGACACAGTGCTTTAACTTACGATACTGGCAATTGTGTCTTGTGGGTTTTGTGTTGTGCCGTTGTCTGAACTTTCCACAATGTAAATCAAAGGAGAACCTTCTGCGTTAAGATCCTACGCAAAAGGAGATCATTTTTCACCATCAGGGGGGTATTCCAGAAAGGAGATTTAACAAACTCTGAGTCTATCCCTGAACTCTGAGTTGACTTACTCTGAGACGGGAAACTCTGAGTATCCGGTTCCAGAACAGCTGATCTGCGTTAGTTAAATAGACTCGGAGTATGTTCACCTTGAGTTAAGCGCGTGCATGACGATTATAAAAGCAATCATCAATGGAGCCCTGATAGCACGAGTCACCACGACAACATTAAATAAAAGAGCAAGCTATTTCACTGCGATGGAGTTGGAGGTCCTTCTGCAGGCCTACGGTGAGCATGAGGATGTAGTTCGCCGCAAATGTAATACAGCTGCAGCAGCGAATGAGCGAGAAACTGCATGGGGGAAAATCGCTGCCCAACGCGTAAGTTTGAATGTACTGTTCCATTGACATCACATTTAACCGTAAGATCGTCACAGCCTATAGTTATGAATATGGGGAAACAGGGGAAAAAAGGACCTTGAAGCAGCTAAAAATGAAATGTAAAATCATAATTCAAAAAGGTATGGCATCTATTGCCAGGCTTTGATTGCACTTCACTTTAATTTTAATTTATTTTTTTTAATTGACTTAGGCTATTAAACAAAGTAAATATAAAATTCAGTGGCTACTTGAAATATTGTAAATTAAACCCATAATAAAATGTTCTTTTTACACCTTTTCACTTATAAAAAATAATAAAAAAGTGTCTCCTATCAAAGTCATTTAAAATGTGATGCTGTAGCCTACACCAACACTCATTAAAAAACAAAGAAACACTGAGTTCTGCTCAGCCAACAGAAAGACGGCAGAGGCCCAAAAAACAGGTGGAGGGCCACCTCCACCACCTCTGACAGAGGCTCAGCCTAAACAGTGGTCTCCCGGTGGCTGAAGGTTTCCCTGGGGGAAGCTCTTCCGAACCGGTCACCCCCCCAGGACACAAGTGACTACATCAGATGC